ATAAGCACCACTCAAGTGTGCAGATGTGCTTTGTGGTGTTGGGACAGGCCTGGCCACCTGTACTCCCCTGGGGGTTATCAGTAAACTACTGACCTTGAGGGTTGGGGAGATGATTCAGTTGGTAAAGTGGTTACTTCGAAAGCATGAGGACTTGAGTACAGATCCCCAGAATCCACATAAAAGCTGGGTGTGGGCCGGGCGGTGGTGGCGCACGCCTTTAATCCCAGCACTCGGGAGGCAGAGGCAGGCGGATCTCTGTGAGTTCGAGGCCAGCCTGGTCTACAGCGCGAGATCCAGGAAAGGCGCAAAGCTACACAGAGAAACCCTGTCTCAAAAAACCAAAAAAAAAAAAAAAAAAAAAAAGCTGGGTGTGGTGCCTGTAACCGCAGCACTATAGAAAAGAGTCAGATGGCTCCTGGTGGCTGGCTGGCTAGCCACGTTAGCCAACATGGCAAGCTTGAGGTTCAGTGGGAGACTTTGTCTCAAAAAATGAAGGTGGAGATTGATCAAGCAAGACAAGTAACATTGACCTCTGGCATCTACATGCACATGAATGTGCATATTAACACAGACACAGACACAGACACACAGACAGACAGACAGACAGACACAGACACAGACACAGACACACACACAGACACAGACACACACACACACACACACACACACACACACCCCACAAAGATATTGGCCTTTAAGTCAGAACTTCTGACTTTCAGTTCATCTCTATGTGGCCTTAGGTTAATCTGTGCTAGCCCTTAGCCTTCTTAAAATGAGTCCTTCCAGCTCTAAAAGCTAGGATATTACAATATGAGCAAATCCATGTGAACTTAATGCACTTGAAAAGAGAGCCCAAGGTCTCCGGAGCCAGGCTTTCTCCCAGGGAAGGCTGCTAGCTCCACAGACATTGCCGGCTTTGTTTACTCTGCACCTCGCATTGCTGGATATGCAATAGAAATCCTTGAGTGCTTGAAAGAACAGTTTTAAGCGTAATGGTTTTCCTACTGTTCAGACACGAGTGGTTTGGTGGAAATGATGTGGATTACGGATCACACAAATCCCATCAGTGTTTAGAAGCTGTGGGACCTTGGGCAAGCTATGCAACCTCTCTGAGCCTTATTTCAACATTGGTAAAATGAGAATAATGGGTCCCACTTTACAGCACTGTCTTGAGGAAAATAGACGAGAGATTTAAAGCTCTGAACAGTCCTTGGTGCATAGTGAATGTTCAAGAACTCTTAATGACAGAAACAAACATTAGCACCAGCATCAACACCCTATGACCAAGGACTTCAGTAACAACAGCAAGATCAAGCCCCTTACACTGAGTAGATGGAATACTCTGTAGACTACCCCGTGTTTTCAATTTTCATTGTAATTGTGTGGTTTTATTTTCATAATCCTGTGAGATAGGTTTTATACCTACTTTTCAGTTAAGAAGACTGAGGCTCAGCCGGACGGCGGTGGCTCATGCCTTTAATCTCAGCACTTGGGAGGCAGAGCCAGTGGGATCTCTGTGAGTTCGAGGCCAACTTGGTCTACAGAGTGAGATCCAGGACAGGCACCAAAACTACACAGAGAAACCCTGTCTTGGAAAACCAAAAACAAAAAAAAAGACTGAGGCTCAGAGAAATCAAGTGATATCTCTTGAATGATGTGTCCAACAAAGGCCAGAGTATAGACAAGGTCCTGGGTCTCTGGTATCAGTAGTATGTCCTACTGTCTGTCAATCATGTCCATGTTCTTTTGCTCACAAGGTGCCAGTATTTTGCATTCCCTCTTGACACCCGACTAAGGGCAGGGTATTGGAAGGGTGTGATTCACTTTCGCCATCCCCCTGAATAACTAGACTCCTCCTTCCATGGAGCAGGCCATCTTCAGCAGCCACCAGAGTCTCCTTGAAGGGCAAGATGGAAAGGTGTCCTCCCCAGTCAGTGAGGACCATGTGTGAGAGCACCAACCCTACAGGACATGTCTCCCCACACACGTGCGGATTGGACCTGGTCTTTTACCCATTTGGCATGCTGGGAGGGTCGGGTTCAATGCCACCCAAGCTGATCTCTTGTTCCCGATAAAGATCAATAATCACAGTGATGCCCTGGTGGGGTTCTAGGAAGCTGCAGTTCTTGGTACTGCTGGAGCTGCAGGGTGCCATAATCCGAGGCACAGGCAGAAGCCAAAGGAACTGCATCTCTGTGTCTGAGATAGCCTCTTCTTCTAGGGGCTTCGAGAGTAGGCCAGATATGGTAAGGTTTCTCTAGGTAAACAGCTTCACCAGCCCATCCAAGCAGAGAGGGCAGTGTCAGGCCACGTCTGGTGTGGGGCCAGCCTCCTGGAGCCATTGCCTAATCCAGGCCTCCTGTCCTCTTCCCAAGAACACTTAGCTTACCCTGTTGTTCCCTTGACTTTGCCTGCATCCCTTTCTGGTCCCAAGCTGCCTCTGTAGTTTTTCCTTTTTCTCTTTCCTTCTTTCCTTCTTCCTTCCTTCCTTCCTTCCTTCCTTCCTTCCTTCCTCCCTCCCTCCCTCCCTCTCTCCCTTCCTTCCTTCCTTCCTCTCTCTTTCTAAAAACAAAAACATAAAAACTACTTTGTGTGTGTGTGTGTGTGTGTGTGTGTGTGACTGGGTGTGGCTATGGGTGTGGGTGTGCATGTGAGCACAGGTACCCAAGGATGCCAGAAGAGGATGTTGAATCCCCTGGAGCTGGAATTACAGGCACTTGTGAGCCAGTCAACATGGGTGCTGGGAACTGAACTTGAACTTGGGTCTTCTAAAAACACAGTACATGCGCCTAACCACTGAGTCATCTCTTCAACCCTCTTTCCCTACCTCCCTTCTTTTTTCCAGTCAGGATCTCAAGAGCTGGCCTTGAACTCACTCTGTAGCAGGATAAACTTCGTTCTCCCTCTGCCTCTTGAATGCTAGAATTACAGGTGTCCACCACCACGCTGGGAATCTAAGTCAGGGCCTAGAGCATGTTGGATAAACATTCTTCCAACTGAGCCACAGCCCTAAGCCCCGAAATTCTCTTTGCATACCACAGATCCAATCAGAGCACACCCTTGATTGATGAATTTCTAATACTCTCCACGGTCTCCGCTGTGAAGTCTTTAGTCCTTGTCTACCTGTAAGCATGTGGGAATGTCCCCAACTTGAGCTCTACCCACAGTCAGCCCTGTGTGAGCTGTTCACTTATTCCTGTCGTCATTTGGAGTGCACTGTGGCTCATCCTTGGGGCCATCCCACTTGTACTTTCCTCAGTCTTCAAAGGTTCTGCTGTGAGACACTTACTGGGGCTCCCTTTCACCTATCATTTATCTCGCTAAACTTTACAACTCCTAAAATTTTTCATTAGCCTCCGGAGTGCTGGGAATATAGGCATGCGCCACCACTGCCCTAGCCACATCAAATTTTTAATACGCATAAAAGCCAGTCTTGCTCTTTATTTGTATTCAAGCCTCCCTCCCCTTACAAGATCTTGTTCTGCAGCCCAGGCCAGTCTTGAACTCATGAACTCATATCTTGCCTCAGGCTTCTCACCGTTGGCATTATGCACATGGCCACCATACCTACTTCATTCTCTTTTGGGCAGGCCTTTTTGTTTGGCTGCCTGTTTAACCTCCTCTAAGCCAAGGAAGCCTCACACTCCTTGAGTCTGGAGTTTGTGGAGTGAAGAAAAGATGCTCCTGATGGATGCCAGCACGGGAGGAGGTGAGGATACCGTGCAAGGGGCTGTGGGGATGGCATCACTCCCTGCACCAGTATCTACTTTTGCACTGATGTCATGAGGCGCTAGGGAGCCCGAAGTCTGGAAGGAGCCATGGAATAAGCCAAGCAGGGCCTCTGGCTAACCATGTGTGTGGTTTTTTGTTTGTTTGTTTGGTTGGTTTTTGGAGACAAGGTTTCTCTATGTAGCTTTGTGCCTTTCCTGGAACTTACTCTGTAGCCCAGGCTGGCCTCGAACTCACAAAGATCCGCCTGCCTCTGCCTCCCATGTGTGTTTTGACCCTTTTACCTCTCTCAACCTCGGGGTCTTCATTTTGAAGTTAGCTATAACAATATCATAGGATTGTGATGAGACTTTAGTGAACAGGACCTCTCCCTACTCCTTTGGTATCAGTGCCTTTTTTTCTGCAGGCGGTGCAATCGTGGGCTTTTATTGCTTCCATGTTTCCCAACCAGTCTGTGTGCTCTTGCGCAGTCCAAGACAAGAACGGTGTCCAGCTTATCCTGGCGTCCTCCCCAGTGGCCACCCCCGCGGCACTTAGCATGAGGAAGAAAGCAGAGGTTCCACGGTTCTTTTCCAAGATGGTCTGATGAAAGGATTCAGAACCCTGGTTAAAAAGAGACCCACTCCTGGGAGGTTGCAGGAGAGTAACAAACAATGTGGATCGCGCAGACAATGTGAGATACTGGAGTCTCAGCTCCAGCTAGCCAGAGAGGGACTTCATTTAACAATCCAGTCGGAGGCCGAGCGCAGCTCACCGCAGCCGTTGCGCCTCCTTTGTGCCCGCATCAGGTGCAAATCCCCGGAACGCGGGCTGTGCGCGCTCCCGCTTTGAAGCGCGCAAAGAAAAGCCCAGCTTCCACCCCTGCTCGCCCTCCCAGCTCCTCTGAGATCTACTCCGGCTTCCCCGGCTCCAGCCAGCGAAGGGAGGAGGTCGGACACGTCGCCGGCCTCCCAGCAGGGCTTGACTCCATGCGGGCGGGCGCGAGGGAGGGGGAGCCTGGGACCCGCCGCTCCAGCCCGCTGGCCTTCGAAAGATCCTCCTGGGCCAATGGCAGGCGGGGCGACGAGCCCTGATTGGTGCAGGCGCTCTGCTGATCACTGTGGAAACCCGGGTGGCGGGGAACTCGGGAGGATGCGGAGCCCGGAGTGGGGGGAGCCGGAGGGGTGGGGGGAGGAGGTGTCGAGTCCCTGAGCTACCCTGGAGTTTTCACCAGAGGCAAAAGTCCACAGCAGGCGGGCCGAGGGTGGGGCGGAGGAAGGGAACCGCTTGGGGGCACTGGGAAGCAAGGGGTACTCCAGAAGGAAGGCAAGGATACTGGCTAGCCAGTGAAGGCGAGGAGGAGCGAAGGCGAGGGGAGGAGGCGCGGTGGGAGGAGGAGTAGAAGACAAAAGCCGAAAGCGAGGAGGGCGCCGACCGCACACTGCGGCCGAGAGAGGGACCGTCGGTGCCGCGAGTGGCGGGCACACGGAGGCGGTAGCGCGCGAAGCATCCGGGTGGACAGTTAGCATGGGGAAGGGAGGTAACCAGGGTGAGGGGAACACGGAACGCGAGGTTCCGATGCCCACCTTCCGCTGGGAGGAGATTCAGAAGCACAACCTGCGCACCGACCGGTGGCTCGTCATCGACCGCAAGGTCTACAACGTCACCAAATGGTCCCAGCGGCATCCGGGGGGCCACCGGGTCATCGGACACTATTCGGGAGAAGATGCTACGGTAAGGGTCTAGGGATGCCAGCCATCCTTGTCTGCTGCAGGCCGGTGTCAGGAACCCGGGGTCCCTGGGCGCCAAACAGATCTCCAGTTCTGAATGGAGCGCAGGACGTCCAGGAGGGAAAGAAAGTGTACCTACTGCTCTCATCTCGCACCCGGAATCGTCGTCCTCTGGGCCAGCTGGGCAGACTTGGGCCGAGCCTTTTGGACTCCAGGTCTTAGCACCTCTGTGGAAGTCCCATCAGTGGCAAACTGTGCCCGATGCATGTCCACAGCGCATACTGCGCGCCGGTAGCTGGAGCCAGGGACTCTCCCAAGGGGGCGCTCCGGCTTTGTGCCTTGGCGCTCCCCATGTGGAAGATGGCCACTCTTGGGCGCCCAGAGAGGAGCCTGAGAGCGGGCAGCCATATGTGGGACTCTCCTGCCAGACCAGGGGGGCGGAGAAGGAAAGCTGGTTCCTTGCCAGGACTCGCTCCTGCTTGGACTCCTGTCTGAGAAAGTCCACAATGGCTGCCCGACAGAGACTGCCTAGTAGCTCAGGTTCCCACGCTCCCGAGGATTATCCCGACTCATTCCAAGTGCCAGCCTTCTGGGAAACCCGGGTGGGAAATTGATGGAAGGCGAATGGGCTGGCTTTTGCAAAGTCCAGGTCCAGAGGGGATCTAGAAGGTGAATTTGGTAGCACCAAGACTGACTTGGCAACAGGTCCATCTGCCTCTGGGGTTACTCTCGGACATTCAACTCAATAGCCCTCTGTTTTTAAATCTTGCCAGGATCACCCTTCCTTCTTGCACTCCTGAAGGTTGTTGGAATCTTGGGGACCTCTCTGGAATCAAGGCTGCCGTTCTTATGCACACCAAACGTGTAGCTCAGCAATTGCATAGAACCCCACGCCATGCCTGGCCCCACCCCCAACAGTAAAGGAGTGTGTGGTCGGGTGGGTAAGAGGAAAAGCAAAGTCAAGGAGGAAGACGGGACCTTTTAGGCTGTAGTGGTGAGCTGAAGGCAGAGGGAAAGATCGAGGCTGGAGAGAACTTGGGAAAGATGAGTGGGAAGAGGCAAGAAGAGAGAACGCATTCCACCTGAAAGTCCAGGGCGCTGACCTGTTAGTGAGCTTTCGTTGTCCAAGTCTGTTAGTTTCAGTTTGTAACTTACACCTCTTTTCTTCTCTTTGAGATCAACCTAAGTAGCCATACTCTAAACTAATCAATGGACTGGAGGCTTTGATGAACAGGATACAATCTTACTCAAGACTGAGGAGAGAACTGACCATATTCATACTGCCTAAAGCCTATTTTCCTTGCTTGTGGACCCTGCTTAAGCCCATGGGATTGGTGATGCTAATCAGATCTTAAGTGGGTGTAAACTTTTCATACTCCTTGAGTGTCCTAGCTTGGACCTTTCCAAGCTTCTGACTGGAGGTTTTTCTACTGATCTGTGGTGCTAGTCTATGCATGACTCCGTAGGCGAATCATAAAACGTCTGTCCCTTTCCAGGCTCTCACCAAAATGTTTCCTAAAAAGTAAAACTATCAATGTGATACAGTTGATCTGTTTATTCCATCTCATGAAAGAAATTGGTTTTCTTGTGTGGAAGATCAATTGGATAACGCCTTGAACTTCATAGTTTACTTAAGAAATCAGATGTATTTCATCTTTGTTTTGGAAGTTCTTAGTGTTTCCCTGACCCGGTTTCTTCCAAATGTCTGTGTTCAGTGCTAAGCCGTCAGATACCTGGATGGCTTGCTCCTTCATGCTAAAAACCTGGCATGCTGTTCGCTGCTGCCCTCACTGTTTTCTGTCACTGATTGCGAGTCTGGTGTCTGGGATGTTAATAGCCCCATGATAGGAAAGGTAAGGTGGAACTCAGTGTAGGCTACAGATATGATCACTGGGCATGACCATGCATGGTGTAACCAGGTGGAGACAACCCCTACCCCAGTGAGCACCAGATGGGCACGATGGAGAGTTATGAGACAAGAGGGATGCAGCAACCAGAATGTAAAGAACTTGAGAAATGGAGAAGAAAACTGAGTATATCGAAGCAAGCTCATTTGATGCCGCAACACCAGAGCTTACTGCCTTCCCAAAGAAGATTTTTGGGGGGCACAAAACACACTCCCTACAGATAGAGTTGGAGAACGATGAAGTAGGCAGTGGTGTTTTCTCTGGCGAACCTCCCCCCCCCCCCCCGTTTTTTTCTTTTTACACTGTCTGAGACCAGGTTGGAAAAAGGCCTTGAGCAACAAGGAGACCTTCAAAGGGAACTCCAAGAGCAGGAATCCCTCTCCAGGCTGGTTCCACAGGTAGCTTTGCCCCCTGGGGCCTTGTCTTCTTTTTGAGAGCTTGAGGGGAGTGATGAGGATGCCCTGAGTTTGGGGAGAGACTGATGAGCAGATAGAGGCTGGATCCCCGAGCACTTTCTCTGTCGCTGCTCCCAGGTATCTGTGATGTCTTCACAAGAGGCTGGAAGGGAGGCCAGGAATCAAGGAAGCCATTTTCAGGACAATCTGGGTATCTAGTGCAGAGTTTTCTGTTTCTGAAGAAAACACCTCAGAAGTGCTCACTTCTTCCCTAGAAGGCTGGTCCTTCTGTAGTCAGATCCTGGCCTTACTTGTATTAGTAAAAGTCACTTAGTACAGAGCTGGAGAGATGGATTGCTCAGTGGTTAAGAGCACTGACTGTTCTTCCAGAGGACCCAGGTTCAATTCCCAGCACCCACATGGCAGCTCACAACTGTCTGTAACTCTAGTTCCAGGGCTTCAGACACATACACACAGGCAAAACCACCAATGCACATAAAATAAAAATAAATTTTAAAAAAATTGGAAAAAAAAAAAGCCATTTAGTGTCATGTGCTCAGAGCCCCAGCTACTCAGAAGGCTGAAGCAAGAGCCTTGAACCCAAAGGTTTAAGGCCAGCCTGTCGTTAAAAACTGTAGTTTTTGCAGTTCACAAACCCATTGGTGTGTGCTATCTCATTTAATTCTCAGGTCAGTCCTGCTGCTGTCCTGTCCTGAGGCTCAGGTGGTGGTCAGCCCTAGGCAGGATCTGTTGGCCCCAACCCCTCCAGCCTCACCTTCCTCTCTCTCTCCTCCCCCTTCTCGTCTTTTCACATTTTTAGTCGTTTCTTGCTCGTCCCGCGGAACTTCTCGTGTCTGAGCTTTGCTGTAGGCACAAAGCACTATCACCACGCCCCGGCCAGTGTTTGCACTTTTCTTGGGAATCTGGTCAGTGCCAGAGCCCCACTTGTGAGTTTCCATCTTCAGCAAGAGCTCATCAAACATTCATTGAGTGTCTCCATGACTCCGAGCTGAGCTCTGAGCAGGGCCTCAGCAAAAAGATGAATAATTCACGGATGGTGGCCTGCATCCACTGGATTTGTGTCCCTCCCTCTTTTTCTCTTTCTCAGACTGGGGCTTGAACCTGGATCCTCCAGTTCCAGACATTCACCTCTCCTCCAGCCTACCCTGTTTTGTCTACGCTTTTCGGCCCATCTGCCTTGTTTGCTTACCTCTTAGAGTCAAAGGAAGGCAAAGGGGACTAGAGGGGGGTTCCGTCTTTCAGCCGCTCCTATACTGCTCTTGTGAAAAAGCAGCAATTGAGAAAATTGGAATTGTGCCCCTGTAGAAAGGGCAGGAGGGTCAGGATACGGAAAAGAACCTGAGTTGGGGGTTTCTAGACCTGGAGGGCAGCTCTCTCTCCTCAGCTGAGTAGGAGCCATCTGACTCCTGCCCACTGCTGTGGGAGGGAGACCCCATATCCAGTCCCAGCATCCCCTAGTAGTGGTTCTGGTAAAATACAAATGGAATTGGGCTGGGGAGATGGCTTAGTAGTTAAAATGCTTGCTGCCCAATAGTGAGAATGAAGCTCAGATCCCAGAACCCACATAAATACCAGGTGGGGGTGGCAGCCGATTTGTAATTCTAGCCTCTGAATGCAGAGGGATGGGACCCCCAGAGCAAGCTGGCTAGCGAGGCTAACCATGCCAGTGAACTCTGAGTTTGATTGCGAAGCCCTGTTTTGGTGGATAAAGTGAAGGAGCAATTGAGGATGGTTCTCAGCATTAATCTTGGGCCTCCACATGCATGCACATGTGTGCACATGCACATGTGCAAAAACATATGCACACATACATGAAAAGGGAAGGGGGGAAACGGCATCACATCTTCATGCCTGGTCTGCCTCTGTGGGGACTTACTTCCGGTGCAGCCAGGGGAGTCCACACATCCTGTGTTAGCAGATATTCTCTTGCCAAGGGGCTCATGGGCCGCAGAGCACTGCCTACCTATTCATCCTCTTTTCCTTGGAAGGGACAAGACCAGCAGACTTCCTGCCCTGCCTGCACCTATGTGCTGCAGAAAGGAAGTCAGAAACCAGTGTCCCTGGTGTCTGCTGCCTTCTTTAATCTCTACCTGTGGAATCCAGGGTCCCTCCTGCTTCTCCGCCTGCTTTGAGCAGTCGTCAAAGAACTCTGGATTGCTAAATGAAGCACTATGCACCCTACTTATTGAGTCTGTGCTTCTCAAATCCTGGGCTAAATTTGTGGATGTGGAAAGTACCTTATCATAGCTGTGCTGTGCAGAAGAACCTGGGCACATTCAGAAACAGGTTTTGGGACCTTGAGCTCAGCGCAAGGACAGGACAGTGAGTTCTGCCCGGAGGGGGCAAGGTCAGGGTCAGGGAAGCTGTGCCTGGAGAAGAAGCTGCGTGGCTGCAGAGGGAGAATCAGGGCCGCTGACCCCACCAGGAGCCTATTCAGAGCTCCTCCTGCACCTGCATGCCGCTCCTTTCACTTTCCCTGAGTCTTGGCCTCTTTGTAGAGAAGCCTGAGCCTGGGGCTAGCAGAACTGGACCACCCTCCTCACCGCCTGCCTGAGGCTCCTGGGACAGCAGGCTTCTCTCTCTGAAAAGATCCTTGGTTTTGATCTGGCCCCTTGATTTAATCTTGCCCTTTCTATCCCACTAGGAGAGATTTATTTTGTTTGTTTTCTAAATGTAGAGGTTGAAAGATAAAGAAACGCTGTCTCTTCTGAACCAAGAGTTCCTAATAGTAATGTTTGGTCAATTCGCTTTCTCTTTATGTGTAGACAATTTCCTTTTGAAATTAAGTTGTATCAAAACCAGGTATGGTGAGCATGCCTTTAATCTCAGCACTGGGAAGGTAGGTTCAAGAGGATCAGGGATTCCAGCCTTCGGCTGTCTAACAAGTCTGAGGCCAGTTTGTGCTACCTGATACACTGTCTCAAAAGTGCAAAGCAGGGTGGACAAGATGAATCTTCAGTTAAAGCTCTTGCTGCCAAGCCTGATGACCTGAGTTCAGTCCCTGGGACCCATATGGTGGAAGGAGAGAATGGACAATCCAAACATTGTCTTCTCATTTCCACATCTGCTGGGTGTGCACACAAATAAATAAATGTAAAAAAAAAAAAAAAAAAAAAAAAAAAAAAAAAAAAAACCTCAAGTGAAACAGGCTGGAGGGATGGCTCAATGGTTAAGAACACTGTCTGCTCTTCCAGAGGATCTGGGTTCAATTCCTAGCACCCACATGGTGGTTCATAACCATCTGTAACTCCAGTTTCAAGGGATCCAATGGTCTCTTCTGGCTTTCTTGGGCTCCAGGTACACATGATATATATATATATATATATATATATATATATATATATATATATATATATATATATATATATATATGCAGGCAAAATACTCATACACATAAAATAAATAAACCTAAATTTCTTTTTTAAAAAAGTAAAACAACAGAAAAGTTGCAGCATCATGTGACGTGTCCCTAAATTCTTCAGCATCTTCTCCCAAGCATAATGTTCTGTGATCATCATAATACCTCTATCTCATTCACAAAAATGATTAGCGGCTGGAGCTGTGGTTCATCTGGTAGCATGCTCCTGCATTCAATCCCGAGCATGGCATAAACCGGGCATGCTGGCACATGCTTGTGGTCCCAGCACTTGGGAGATTAAAGCAGGAAGATCAAGGTCATCTTTGACTACATGTGTGAGCTTATGAGCCAGCCTGGGTAACATGAAATCTGGCCTTAAAAAAATAATAATCCCAGCCGGGCGGTGGTGGCGCACGCCTTTAATCCCAGCACTCGGGAGGCAGAGGCAGGCGGATCTCTGTGAGTTCGAGGCCAGCCTGGTCTCCAAAGCGAGTTCCAGGAAAGGCGCAAAGCTACACAGAGAAACCCTGTCTCGAAAAACCAAAATAATAATAATAATAATAATAATAATAATAATAATAATCCCTATTGAGTCAGAAATCCAGTGCTCATTTTTATTTCCACATCTACCTCCCAAAAGTTTATGGAACTTCTGTTTTCCCTCCAACCAGGAGCCTTTCTAGTGAAAGCATGTGGTTTACATGTCTCCATTTAGACCATCGTCCCACACCTACATCTCCGTACCTCACTATATTGACTTTTCTGGTCGTTTTTCCTGGTACTACATGGCTTGTTCAACTCAATCCTGCAGTGCCTCAATTTGATTGAGTGGTAGAAGGCAGGATAAACGTGGAACTGGAGCATCCAGTTACACACCCTGGGACATCTGGTGCAGACTCAACTCCGGGAGAGGTGTTTGATTTTGTGGAGATAATCTTTGTCATGTATGTACTGTGTAGAAGAGGCAGGCAGAACTACTTCCCACATGATGAATATTTCTCTTCTTTATTCTTCTGTGCATTTTCTAATGTTGCCAGAATTAAGCATATTTTCACTTCATCTTCGGAACAAGAGATTAAAATGCAGAACATAATAGTAATGTTAGAGGAAGTTTGCAAACTAATGAAAATAAAACAAGGCATAACCCATGTCTTTAGCAATAGTTTAGATCCCTCCAACCCTGTGGCAGGGTTTTTCAGGAGTTATTTTACCTAGTTCCACATTATTGTTCAATGTCATTTAAGCACATTTTCTATGCTGTAGTCATTTTCTAAATGTTAGGGATCGAGCTGAGGGCTTCACACATGCTGGGCAAGCATTTTTATTACTGAGTTAAACTCCTACCCTGGGTCTTATCCCTTCACTGATAATTGTGGCTATGTGATGAGGAGATCTCTGGAATGGTAGGTGGTATAGTTTGTGCACTGCCAAAGAAACTCAGCTCAGGAGTAGTCCAGGACTGTCTTCTCTGAGTCCTGTGCCTACCTGCTACACCTCCCTGGAGACCTGTCTGTCTGCAGACCTTTGGCCAGCTCAGCAGACCTGGTGCCAGTGCAGAAGCTCAGGATGGATACTGTTTGCCATTGGAGTCTTGCAATGGGAATGTGTCCTGGGGTTGAGTCTGGAGTGAGCACTTGCCTCTGGGTGGTGGGAAGTCCTGCTTGTTATCTGAGTAGAGATTGGGGCTGCTGCTAAGCATCATCCTTCCTGGAGTGAGAGGAGCCAGCAGAGGGCGGGGGCTCAGTTTGACCACCTGCTTCTCTGCTTCCCAGGATGCCTTCCGTGCCTTCCACCTGGACCTTGACTTCGTGGGCAAGTTCTTGAAGCCCCTGCTGATTGGTGAGCTGGCCCCCGAGGAGCCCAGCCTGGACCGTGGCAAGAGCGTGAGTGGGACTTGTAACCTTGATGGGGTGGGATGAGACTGGATGGACAGTAGGGGTGAGAGTACTTCCTTCCCAAGACCCCGCTGTCAGGGCAGTGACAGGAGAGCCTTTGAGTCTGCCCAGGAGGAGGCCCTGAGCACCTAGGTCAGGGAGGACCTCAGAGTGTCCCCTGGGAGCCTCCAGCCGGGTGATAGTTTAACGGCATCCCCTCTCTCCCAGTGGGTTTCTTTGCCCCTCTCCTTTACACGAAGTTGCCGGATGTTGGTCTGGTACACGACTATCTGAGAAAGGGCAGTATCAGCTAATGAAAAGTGTAGCTGTTTGGAATGAGTCACTTTGAGGAAGAGTGACCATCATTTACTCGTTTGTCACTGAGTGAGACCCTCTACTGAGTGCTGGCCTTCAAAGATGTATGTAAAAATAACTCCCCAGGCCTCACCAGCCGGGTGTTCAGTGGTGAAGCCACTTGCAGGCCAGACCTGGCTTGCATGATGGAGCTGTGTAGAACAGCATGTTTTAGAGTTTCTCGAACCCTCGAGAGTCCCTCGACTCCTCCCCTCAATCCCTATCTTCCCTACTCAAGTCACCCTTTCCATGGAGCCTAGGCTTCTGCTAGCCCTAAACAAGGCTGAGGGTACCATCCCTGTGTCCTGAGCCTGCTGGCTTGGCCATCGTGTAGAGTGCGATGGTTCAGGTCCTCAGAGCTGAGGTAGTTTCCCCTTTAACAGGCATACTATGTGTGGCCTTGGTGCCAGCAGGAGAGGGTGGGCCACCATCGTCCCTGTCTGTCTCAGGGAGATGGCACCTCCTACTGCCATCCAGGGCAGAGAAGTTTCCTGAGAGAAACCAGACCAGGCTGGCCCCTCCTGCTCCCTGCCTGAGCTGGAGTAATTCTTCACTAGCCTCTACCTCAGGGTCCCAGCAAAGCGTGCTTGGCAGGGCACAAGCTCTTTCCTGGCCTGGATTCTTGGTTGGTCCTCCATAGAGGACTCTCTGCCTCCCTGGCCCCCATGCTCAACGCTCACTGCAGCTTCTCTGGCATCCTCCGTGCTCATGAGCAGGACCCCATCCTGCACCCGCACAGAGTCGGGTAGTGGAAGAGGCAAGTGCTCTCTTCTGAGGTGTAGCGCTCAGTGGCATGCCCGGCAACTGCACTATTGCAGAACTGTCCTCACCATCCAGTTCTAGAGCTTTTACATCATCTCCAACTGACATTCTGTGACGTTAACAACAGCTCCTCACTCCCTTCAGCCCCTGCCAAATATCATTCCACTGTCTCTGAAATATTTGACTCCCCCAGGCACCTCATGAATGGAATCATGTATTTGTCCTTTACGAAAGTATATCTTTTGTTGTTTTTGTTTTCTTTATTGTTTTGATACAGGGTCTCATGTAGCCCAGGCTAGCCTTGAACTCCTGATCCTACTGCTTTCCCCTCTCAAGTGCTGGGATTGTAGGCATGGGCTGTCACATCTGACAGCTAGTGTATATTGATCATACAGAATAGTAGGTTTTGTTCGGACATCTTCGTGCAAGCATTTGTCCTTTTCTGACTGGCCTGTTTCATTTGGCACAAACTTCATTCATGATAGACACATTGTAGCAGTATGCCAAATTTTCCTTTGTTTTTAAGGCTGAATAGTCTATGTGCAGAACACAATCAGGTATACCCAACCTGCAGCCTAACACAAAACTCTACACTTACTTAAACATTACCGTGTGTGTGTGTGTGTGTGTGTGTGTGTGTGTGTGTGTGCACGTGCGGACGCCTATGGAGGCCCAAAGATGCCCTGGAGCTATAATTGCAGGCAGCTGTGAGTGGCCCTACATAAACGTTGGGAACTTCAGTCCTCTGTGAGAACTGCAGTCACACTTAACCCTGTTTCTGTTTTTGCCTGTTGTGAATAATGCTTCTGAGAACACTGATTAGGAGATACAAGCTGCTTATTATTCATTACTGTTATTATTCTTACTACACAGGGTTACAGGAGGCCATTTTCACACACACGTACAGTGTACTTGGAGCATGTTGTCCCATATCTTCCACTCCCCTTTAACCCCTCCTCCTACCTCCTTTATTTAATCCTTTAATTTTTTTTTAACCTTTATTTTTATGTTATGTGTTTGAGTGTTCTGCCTGCATGTATGTTTGTGCATTACATGCATGCAGTACCCTTGGAGGCCAGAAGAGGGTGTTGGATGTCCCTGAGACTGGATTTACAGACAGTTGAGAGCCACCAACTGAATGCTGGGAATCAAACCCTGGTCCTATGGAAGAGCAGCCAGTGCTCTTAACTACTGAGCCATCTCTCCAGCCCTGCTAGTCCCTCTTGTTCCCATACAGCTTTATTTCTAGTTTAGTGTCATCTGTACATATAAGATGTTATATATCTGTGAAGTCTAGAATCCGCTTGAGAACTGAGAAAACACAGCCTATTTTTCTTTCTAGGACTGGCTTGATTCACTTAGTATGATTAAAAGTACAAGCTTTTGAGTTCAACTTTTCTTCTGCTTCTTTTTTTTTTTTTGGTTTTTCGAGACAGGGTTTCTCTGTGTAGCTTTGCTCCTTTCCTGGAACTCACTTGGTAGCCCAGGCTGGCCTCGAACTCACAGAGATCCGCCTGGCTCTGCCTCCCGAGTGCTGGGATTAAAGGCGTGTGCCACCACTGCCCGGCTTCTTCTGCTTCTTATCCAGCTGCGACATATCTGTAGTAATGGTGGCTGTTGCTGCATCTGGTGACTGGGCTCACACAGGATTCAAGATGCTTGCCACAAGCTATGGTGTGTATGGTGCTTGAACACATGTCCCCTTGGAGGGTCTAGTGGCTGACTCTCTCCTGTGTCCTTGCTCAACAGTCTCAGATCACCGAAGACTTCCGGGCCCTGAAGAAGACTGCCGAGGACATGAACCTCTTCAAAACGAACCACCTGTTCTTCTTCCTCCTCCTGGCCCACATCATCGTCATGGAAAGCATCGCCTGGTTCAGCCTCTCGTACTTTGGCAATGGCTGGATTCCTACCCTCATCACCGCCTTTGTTCTTGCTACCTCTCAGGTGAGGCCTGACACCCTTGACCAGGATCTGAGCATCCCCACCCCTCAGATCCCTCGTGGCTGTTTGCTGATGCTGCAATGACATTCACAGCCCTCTTTCCCCAGGCCCAAGCTGGATGGCTGCAGCATGACTATGGCCATCTTTCTGTCTATAAGAAATCCAGATGGAACCACATTGTCCACAAGTTTGTCATTGGCCACTTAAAGGTAAGTATTGGGGTTAAGGGTGATGGCTCAGAAAGTAAATCCCTTGGGAAAACCTGAATTTGATACCAGAATGCATGTGAAAATGCTGGTTATAGTGTGACGTGCTTGTAATCCCAGTACTGAGGAGGCAGAGACAGGAGGATTCCTAGGGCTCACTGGCCAGGCAGTCTGAACTACCTGCTAAACTCCAAGTCAGTGTGAGGTGGACAGTGTTCCCGAGGATGCCACCTAAGACTGCCCAGCCTCCACATGCATGTGCACATGTGTGCAGCCTCCCCTCAAACATGCAGCTACATGTACACACACACTGAAAATGGGGGAACTGGAGGATAGAGGGGTCTATCAGCAGCCTGGGTAATCATCCCATTAGATTAATTCTCTGTAAATGGAAACTATCCCAAGTTAAAAACGCCTGTAATTCCCCTAGCCCACCAAACCTCACAGCTTAGCAACAGAAGGCAATGTAGCGTGTTGGTTGTTTAATGATCCGTGGCTTGCTGCTACACAACCAAAAGCCGTGGTAAATCAAGAACTGCGAATCACCTCTACTGTCATTTTAGATGAGTCCTTAGTGAGACATCCAACTGTTTAATACTTAACTAAACCAAAGGACTGGAGTTGTTTAAAATGGAGACAGTGAGTTGGTTCTGCTCAGATGAGGCCGTGCCCCCTGGAGAGGAGTTACAGTCAAGCGAGAAGCCAAGCTTGCCAGTGACCTTGAGCTGATCTGATAGGTGTTACCTCAACTTGGGAAATCATTTCTTGCCAACTGTACTCAACCCTGCAACAAAATACCAGCCACAAACAGTGTAGGAGAGGGAGGATTTCTCTTAGTGGCTTGAGGTTTCAGAAGTGTCACTTTGTAATCCTCGGCTCTGTTAATTCTGGGCCCCCGGTGAGGCAGAATACCCTGCCGGTGGAAGCATGTGGCAGGAGCTACCTAACTCAAGGCAAGCAGGGAGAAGACTGTGAGGAAGAAAGGGTCAGACACAGCCTTCAAAGGTGTGCCCCCCTCCGTTGATCTACTTTTTCCATCTCCTCAAGTTCCTGCCATCTACTAAAATAGTGCCATTGGTGTGGGACTGAGGGTTCAGACTGCAAGCTGATGGAGATGTGCCGTACTCAAACCATAACATACTCTCTCAAACAGAACCCACTGTCTCCCATAATCAGTCCATCTCAATAGCATCTAGTTGCTTCCTCAGAAAAGCTAGGTCCCCCAGATTTCTACCCTCTGGTCTTTGTTTGGGGAAGAGCCCTGTGCCTAGGTTAAATATCTCCGCTCTGTGGCCATGACCCCACTGCACCCTTGCTTTGCTACTGGATTGGATTGTGAGTGAGCCAGCAATGATCTGCTCAGCAGTTCCCAGTTAGCAGTTTACCTGGCCCTGAGCCTTAGAGGGCTGGGAATCTGGACTCTTCCCAGAACCTCAGGAGGGAATCCACATAAGGGCTTTGTTTCATTTTGTACTTTCCTCTGTGGCCTAAAATCCTCCTCTGTGTAGGAAAGAAACATTTTACCCACTGCCCCTGTCCTCCCCATGCCGTGAACAAAGATGAACTGTGTCCTATTTCCAGGTTCCGGCAGAGTCTTGAGGGCCCTTCCTGTCCCAAGGCCTTGAGTCCTTGAAGGATAGTTTGAAACACAGCTCTTACATCAGACAAACAAGGGCAGGACAGAGGGCTGGCTTCCCTGTAGAGCATTTGCTTGTGAAATTGTTACTCTGGGGGCTGGGGATGTAGCTCAGTTGGTAGAATGCTTGCTGAGCATCCTGAAGCCCTGGGTTCATCCCCAGCACCGTATAAACGGAGTGTGGTGGTACAACTTGCTCTCTCTTTCTCGCTTTATTTTATTTTTTTTTAGACATGGTCTCACTATGTAGCCCTGATTGAGCTACAATTCCCCATATAGATCAGACTGGCCTCACATTCATAGAGGTCCACCTGCTTCTGCCTCCTGAGTTCTCGGATTAAAGGCACATGCTACCACGCCCAGCTAATATATCATTTTTTAAATGATCAACCCTTTAACTCCAGAACACCAAAATATAAAATGTTCAAAAATTGAAAAGTCTGGGGCTGCAGTGATGGCTCAGTGGTTAAGAGCACCAACTGTCCTACCAGAGGACCCGGGTTCAATTCCCAGCACCCACATGGCAGCTAACAACTGTCTGTAACTCTAAGATCTGACACCCTCACACAGACATACACGCATATACCAATGCACATAAAATAAAGATAAATAAATTGTTAAAAAACAAAAACAAAAACAAAAATTGAAAAGTCTGCTGAAATTATTTTAAATATAAATATTTTATTTATATCAAAACAAAATTTATTATGCTTTTTCTTTATTAAGGAAAAAAAAACTTTGTGGTGCTGGGAATTGAACCCAGGGCCTTGCACATGCTAGGTAAGTGCTCTACCACCAAGCTACAGCTCCAACCCTTTTGTTATACTCTCATTTCAAGGTAGGATAATGTAATTAACAATATTTAAGTATGTCAAGCTCAGAAAGTGTCTCCCTTGAAAACAAGATGATCCCCAAAGTAGATTTTTAAAGTATTACGGATGCATTCGCCAGGGTGCACACTTTCTCTTTTGCCCCAGGCTGTGAGCTGACTACCCAGCTCTGCTGGCTACACTTCTGCTGAGGCGTCTTCTTGCTAGGTGCGGTGGAGCACCTTGTGGCCCAGTCCTAGTAGTTGGGAGGCCAAGGCAGTATGAGCCCAGCCTGGCCTCAGATAAGCACACTGTCTCTTGGCTCACCACTGGTCTCTTGGCTCAGCACTGCCTCCCCTGGGCCCAGGCCAGCAGCTGACTTGGAGCAGACACCATTCACCCCTTATTCTGAGAACAGAGAATCCTCAGACAGATGCAGCTTCCCTGTGCCGTGGAGGAGGCATTGCTGAAGGATAAGTGGGGCTTTGCCTGGTGAAGGCGAATGGGAGAGACCCAAAGCAGGGTGGAATCAAAGCACGAACAGCCAAAATATCATGGTGTCTGGTCCCAAGTCCAGGGAGGGGGTGTGTATCCCACCTGGATGGCCCTCACTCCTCATTCCACAAACATCTCTAGGTTGGTGGGCTTTCAGCCGGCTTACTTGTTACCTACCTCGCTCCTCAGTGTCTCTGTGCCAGGGACTTTTCCATCTGATGCTTCTCTTGGGAATTTTGTTCCTTTTGGCTTCAGACGCGAATGCGTCATCCGACTCCTTCCCACTCTGACATGCTGCTTTTTGCTGTGGTGGGTTTTGAAGGCTGTTGCCTACAGGGGCCTGAGGTCACTGCAAAGACCACAGCTGTTTCTTACTATCCACCCATGCTGTCAGTGTTCAGAAGCTGTGTTTGCATCCAAAACACTCTCCAAGTGAGAAGCTTGTTTGGAGCAAATAGACCTTTTTTGCAGATGGTCAGGCCCTACCAACGCTCAGAGCCAGCGAAGGGTCAACGTTTCACCTGCTCCTGATGGGACAGAAAAGGCCCATGTCATACTTGGGCCACCTGGCAACTTTGTTGAGTGACACACCTCTGAAGAAGGCTTTGAGAACTAGTCACATAGCAGCCTGTGGCATTCAAATCCCCTTGCTGTGCTCCCTGTGTTGTGGGACCAGGATGCCATCTAAATGTCGGCTCCTCCCAGCTGTCAGTTAGCATTCACTGGAAAGGACTCATGGCAGATGAAACCTATGTCATCTGAGATATATTTCCATCCTGCGAAAACTTGGGATTCCCTCTCGTACTCAACTGTCTTTTCTTTCTTCTTCTTCTTCTTCTTCTTCTTTCTTCTTCTTCTTCTTCTTCTTCTTCTTCTTCTTCTTCTTCTTCTTCTTCTTCTTCTTCTTCTTCTTCTTCTTCTTCTTCTTGTAGGCTTATATTAATTTTTCAGCATATGCAATTTGTAGAAAATAATAGATTTCATGAGGACATTTTCAACCAAGTGTACCCGGTACTTGTTCGCGTTCATCCTTTCCACCCCCGCTGCCGCCTTCTCCCCTCACGCTGGCTCCCACTCCTTCCCAGATGGCCTCACTTCTACCTTCATGTCTCTATTTTTGAATCTAGGGTCCACGTCTGGGAGAAAATGTGTGGCATTTGTCTTTCTGAGTCAGGCTTATTTCACTTAATGTGATCTCCAGTTCTGTTCCTTTTCCGCAAATGTCATAATTTCATTCTTCATGGCTGGATCATATTCTGTTGCACATATACCATGTTTTCTTTATCCATTCATCCATTGAAGGGTGCCTGGGCAGATACTCAGCTTGCTTGCTTTTTTTTTTTTTTTTTTTTTTTGGTTTTGTTTGTTTATATCAGTACAACAGGTAGCCCAGGCTGGTCTCCAGCACAGCTGAAGCTGTCCTTGAACTCCTGATCCTCCTGCCTCTGCCTCTCAAGTGCTGGGATTACAGGTGTGAGCCACCATGTCCGGGAGATGTGGCTGTTCTTAGTAGAGCTTCAGTGAGCATGCGTATCACGTGCTGACTTAGTTTGTCTGCTATGCATCCCAAGAGTGGTAGAGTTGGATCATGTAGTAGTTTTTGTTGTTTGAGGACCCTTTATACTGTTTTCCATAGTATCTGGACGAATCTACATCCCCACCAGCGATGAATAAGCTCCCCCCACCCAAACACACACACACACACACACACACACACACACACACACCCCTGAAGCAGCATTTGTTGTTTGCTGTCTTGACAGTGACTGTTCTGACTGGGACGAGACGGAATCTCGGTGTGGTGATTTGCATCTCCTTTGCTGCCAAGGATAGTGAACTTTTTTTTTCATAGACTGGCCATTTGTACTTACTTCTCAGGCAACAGCCTCATAAATTCATATGTCTACTTATTGAATGGATTATTTATCTCTTGGTGTCTCATATTGTAGCCTTTTTATGGATTCTTACCTGTCAGATGAATAGCTGACGAAGCTTGTGTCCCTTTCTGGCTCCTCACCGGCAATTGTTTCCTTTCCATTCAGTGCCATCACACTTGTCTTGCTATGTCCTGTCAGAAAATGGCTGCCTGTGCCTAGACCTTGAAGTATTTCCTTGTATTTTCCTCTGGTAGTTTCAGGTGTTACATGAAGGCCTTTGATCCACGGGGAAATTTTTAGATAAAATAGTGGTTTTGAGAAATAATACACGCAGAGAGCCATTTGCCCAATTTAAGTGAACGCTTGGAGTTCCTGGGAGAACCTTCACAGACACACACCGAGCACACGGTTTTAGAGCATCTGCAGCACCACCACACATCTGCAGCCCCGTCTCCAGCACCCCAACCCTGTTTCTCCACTGCTCACTCCTACCCCTGCTTAGCCACCAACTTCCTTCCACTGAGCTTCTCGTGGGATTTTTGTTTTTAATTTATTTATTTTTATTTCATGCGCATTGGTATTTTGCCATGAGTGTTAGGTCCCTTGGAATTGGAATTACAGTTGTGAACTGCCATGTGGGTGCTAGGAATTGAACCCTGGTCTTCTAGAAGAGCAGTCCCTTCTAGCGGTTAAGCTGAGCCATTCTCCAGTCCCATGTTTTTTGTTTTTTACTGGTTTCTTTCACTTTGTGTGGTGGTTCTAGGGTCACCCATGCTTATATCATGTGTTAGTGGTCATTCTTTTCTAAAGAAAGCTTTTTTACATTTATTTATATGTTTATTATTTGGGGAGAGGGGCGCCACAGCACATATGTAGAGGTCAGAGGACAACTTTCAAGAGTCAGTTTTCTCCTTCTACCATGTGAGTCCCAGGGATCGAACTCGGGTCATCAGGCTTTGGGGCAGGCGCCTTTAGTCACTGAACCATCTTACTGGCCCAGTCCATTCCTTTTTATGGTTTAATATCTCTCTCTCTCTCTCTCTCTCTCTCTCTCTCTCTCTCTGTGTGTGTGTGTGTGTGTGTGTGTGTGTGTGAAAATCATGATTTCTCTGGCACATAAGTCAGGAGAGAAACTGCTGGTCCCCTGGTAGAGATAATTTCACTGTTTCTGAAGTCCTTTTCCCTTGCTCAGTACTGGGGAAACTGAAGCTGGAGAAATGACTTGACTTCTTTCAAAACTGACCAGTACTCTGAGTTCAGAAGTGGCAGGGCTATAGTCTGATTTCCAGGGACTCCAGGCATGATCCCCATATGTGATGGAGAAGCCAGTCAGTCATTTGTGTTGGAGGTACCAGGACATGGTTCCCAACAAGACCCATCACTGGCAAGGTCAAGGGCCCACTGGCCTTTGTGGCTCATCTAGCTCCTCTCTCCTTACAGGGTGCCTCCGCCAACTGGTGGAACCATCGACATTTCCAGCACCATGCCAAGCCCAACATCTTCCACAAGGACCCAGACATAAAGAGCCTACACGTGTTTGTCCTTGGCGAGTGGCAGGCCCTCGAGGTATGAGTGAGGGCATTGGTCGGGACGTGTCATGGGAGGAAGGAAGGAGTCCTGTAGGGTCAGCATTTAACCAGGACATCAGCAGCTTCTGCCACCCAGAGTCCTTTCCTAGTCACCCTGAGTTATCCCAGCCACAGTTTACATTGAGTGGCTTTTCTTCAGAGTACTGGACACAGAACCTCATGAGCAGGCTCAGTGCATCCGTCCCTCCTGCCCACAGGAAACTGGGTCAAGTTTTTCAGGAAGGCAGAATTCTAGGTCTCCATGATGGTCTAGGGGAACAGCCCGTGCGCAGGAAGCGTTATCTGGAGAACGGTAGCCTAAACAGCAGATGACAGAGCAAGGCTCAGACAGAAGACAGGAAGTGGTAGGTTGGGCTGTCATTCACCAGTTAGTCCAGGATAAGCCTTCAGATCTTTGCTAGGACACTTCCTTCTATTTGCCCACACTTATTTTACTATCATTTAATTTTTTTATTATAAATATAGGACATACTTGGCACAAACATTGAAATAGTATAGAAATGTATATTCAGTGTCTTATCCTTGTCACCTCTTGGCCTCAAGTTTCGTGGGCCCAATAATAACCACTGTCGGTGAGAAGCCAGAGAGCTTTGTAAGTGCCTGCTATGAACGCTTGTCTCCAGCCCTATCTTCTGCGTGTATATGAACATGTGTCTTAGTTAGGGTTTCTATTGCTGTGAGGAAACATCATGACCTCAGCAGCTTTTATAAAGAAAAATATTTAATTTGGGGCTGGCTTAGAGTTTCAGAGGTTTAGTCCATTATCATCATGGCGGGAAGCATGGCAGCCTGCAGGCAGACATTTGTACTGGAGAAGGAGCTGAGAGTTCTACATCTTAGTCCACAGGCAATAGGAAATAAACTGGCTTGAGCTTCTGAGACCCCCAAAGCCTCCCCTCAGTGACACTCTTCCTCCAACAAGGCCACACCTCCTAATAGTGCCACTTCCTATCTATGGGAGTCCTTCCTATTCAAATCACCACAGCATGCACATATCGTTTTCTTTAAAAACAAAACTAGAAATAAAGTATGCCTTCTATTCTGCAGCTCACTACTTCTAATGTGGACCTTGTTCCAGGAGTTCAAGGGGATTGGTCTCATTCCTCTTGGGGACTGTGTAGTATTACATCCCATTTGTATAGTCTAGGATGATGCACACTATTTCATATTAAAAGTTTTTGTGCTACTGATCTTAATTCATCTTTGGGGTAGGTGTTGGGTTCCAAACTCAGTGTCTCACAGGTGTTAAGCTCGTGTTCTACCATTGAGCTTTTCAGTTTTCTCCTGTGATTCTGCACACACAGCCACCTAATTTTCTTGTAATAAAAGCACACCCAACCAGGCATGGTGATAATGTCAGTACTCTGGAAATAGAGGTAGGAAAATTTCAAATTCTAGCTTAATTTGGTCCAGATAATGAGACTTTTGTCAAAAACAAAATAAAGGGCCAGTGAGGTAGCTCAGTGGGTAAGGTGCTTGCTGCCAAGCCTGACAATTTGAGTTTGGTCCCTGAGACCCACATAATGATGGAAGGAGAGAATTAAATCCCTTAAATTGTTCTTTGCCCTCTGCCCAGGCACTATGCACTGTGGGGTGTGCGCGCGCGTGCGCGCGCGCACACACACAAATAAATAGGGGAAAATTTAAAGAATACTAATTTTTAAAAAAAGTAAAATAGGGCTGGAGAGGTGACTCAGCAGTTGAGAATATTGGCTGCTTTTTTTTTTTTTTTTTTTTAGAGGACCCAGGTTTGGCTCCCAACACCTGCACATGGCATTTCATAACCATCAGTAACTCTAGTCTCGGGGGATCTGACACCCTTTCTGCCCTCTCCAGGCATGCAAGTAGCGTACAGACATACACACAGGCAAAATATCCAAACACATTACATAAATAAGTAAAATCAGGTGCCCTTGATGTATTTAAAGAATATGCTCAATCTAGGCATGGTTATGTCTACCTGTAATCTCAGACATCAGGAAACTAAGAGGAATTACTGTGAGTTCGAGGCCAGCCTGGTCTACATAGCAAGAAGTGTCTTTTAAAAAGGGGATGGTCATTCTATACTGTTTAAAAGTAGAGCTTCTGTGTTAGGTTTAAACTTACAAAAAGGAAGGAAGGAAGAGAAAAAAAGCTGTTGGAAATACAGTGAGGGTGGACACAAGTCAAACTGTGGGTATAGCTCAGTGGCAGAGAGACCTTGCCCAAAATGCTCAAGGCCTGGGTTCAATCCCAACATTGTGATGGAAAATTACAGTGCTGGGCAGAGCAGAGCAGAGCCCTCAACAGGCAGTTATGGGAGGATACAGACTTACCCTCAGTAAGCAGGGTCATAGAAGAAGGAATATCCTAACTGTGTTGGCATCCAAGGCTTGTGACGTAGTTGAGAGAGAGCCTGTCCCCCTCAATTCTGATTCATATCTCTGTCTGATCCAAGACGCACAGGATATCAGCCACAGTTCCGAACTTTGGCTAGGCAGGGATTTCACTTTCTGCCCGACACCTGTCTTTCTTTCTCTTCTAGGAAATGGCTTGTTAGCTTTGGTTAGAAGTGTTTGGATAGTAGAGTTGATTACCCAGAGGCCTTCTGATAGTGAGGACGAAGGCTTCCTTAATGTCTGTAGTAAAGCTGTTAGCGGTTCTCACAAAGGAAAGGCAGGCTCACCAGCTCTGCAGACCAGCTGCACAGTAGCTGATGAATTCTGTCTCATCTCACTTCTCAAATGCTGGCTGGCTTCGGAAGGGAGGCTGCGGCATTCTGCTTGTCCTCTTGGCGGTGGCATTTGAAGATGGAGACCAGCATCAGTGTCTGTGGAAAGTCTCTCAGGCACTCAGGTGTTTACAAGGGAAAAGCCATGTTTCCTGGGTTCCTGGCTGAACTGTGTGCAAGTGCCCAAGAGTCCCGCCCATCACAACAGAGCCCCAAACGGCTATGCCTCAGGGGCTTGAGCCTCCGTTCCAGGCTCCAGAGCTGATGCCTGCCGAGGCCTTTATCTCAGGTGTGGATGACCAGAGCAGACCAGCCACAAGGGCAATCGATTCACAGAAATATTAAGAGCGGTCTTCCCCTACCTGGTCATATTTATGCCTTCCAGGAGGGTGTTCTTGGTTTGTTTTATGTGGCGATGTGCATCCAGTTTCTCTCCTGGATGTTCTTTTCAGTTTAGGAAAGTTCTCCACACATAGTATTTTCAGTGTTTTACAGCTTTACATCTCAACTTTTAGCTGGGGTGTGGGGGGGAGGGGGGGACGATAAAACCCGTTTTTACACTGATGCACTTAATTTGTGTGTGGTCCATGTGAGGACCACTTGTGAAAGTCAATTCTATTCTTCCACCATGTGGGTTCTGAGGATGTAACCGAGCTTCTCAGGCTTGGCAGCAAGCTCCTGTAGCCTCCGAGCCATCTCACGGAACCTTAATTTGTAACTTTTCCCCAGGAGGATTTGGGGGTGACGTGTTCTGCTTCTACATCCTCTATAGTCAGTTAGTCAATGTCCTCAGCCACTAAAGGGCTGGAGTGCCCTTCCCAGACTGGTGAGCTCTCCTACACCCCAGTGTCTACTCTAGACTGCTGCTCCTCCCTCAGGACCTGGACAAAGCTTTCTCCTTTGCATAATACCTCAGGCATGCTCCTTTTTAAACGTGCATCATGCCCTTTAACGGCAGGGCTTCTCCAGTACTCAGGAAGCAGCCGATGGCTGGCTCCTCGTACATAGATAGTGTCTCCCGAGGCCTCTTCATGGTTCTAGCTTCTCCTTTGATTCAGCTGCCCTGGGAAGGCAATCAATCAATTAGACTCTTACAGTAAGGAGGCCAGTGCTTTCTCTCTCCTGGCACCACTCTGTAATTTCTGCTTGAGGTTCCAGCGCTGGGTGGGAACTCTCAGCCGAATTAAACTGTGTTCTATGACAATCTTGTTTGTCACCCCTTCCTTTTGCCATGTCACTACCCCCATAGTGTGGTCAGTGTGTTCCCAGAAGGGGCAGCGTGCCAGCCTTCCTACCTGAGGGCTTCCTTCTCTACTCACCCCTGCTTTCCACTTATCTTCCTGCTTCCAGCAGACCTCTAGTCCCCGCCCCAGCTCCTAGGACACATGAGGCCCTCTTCTTGGGGACGTGGGTGGGCATCTAGCATCCTGCCAGGGCCTGCTGTGGCCATGTGGCTCATTGCTCTGTGTATGAGTTTGTGAGTTCCCAGAGGCAGCAACTGACCTTGTGGCCACTCCTGCCAAACCACCCTCAGCTCTAGACAGACAAGGAAGGCCCTTGTTATTCCTCAGACACTCCATTTGAAACCTGCAAAGTCCCTCTATATGACCTTCCTGTGTCTGATGTATTATTATTTTTCTTCTTGCTGCTACAAAATGCCTGACGAGGAGCCATTTAAAGAAGGAAGGGCTTCTTAGGATTTAGTGATAAAGGCGGTAGATTCCATCGAGTAGGGGAGGAGTGATGGCAGGAGCACAAAGCTGGCTGGTCACGGCATCTGCAGTTGGGACAGATGAATGCTAATGCTCAGCGTGCTTTCTCCTTTTGTTCAGTCTAGGACCCCAGCATGTGGAGTAACGCTGCCTGCTGGTAGAGTAGGCCTTCCCACCTTAGTTAACCTAACCTAGATAACCCCCGACAGGCGTTCCCAGAGGCTGTTCCTCAGGTGAGCCCAGAGCTGTCAAGTTGATAATCAATATTAACTCTCACAGTGCCATCTCGTAACACCCAAACACATCGCTGTTATAACCTTCTATAACCTTCCCTGATGTTCTTGAAGTCTCATGCGTTCAGTTCTACTTCAACCGTCTTCGTTAGCAGTTCCAATACTGTTCACAAGTGTAAATGCAGGAACTGGTTAAGATCAATTGCTACTCTTCTAGAAGACCCAAGTTCAGTTCCTGGCAAGAGTTCAGATCTTAGCAAACCACGTTGGGCAGCTCACAACTGTTTGTGACTCCAGCTCCAGGGGATCTGACACCCTCTTC